TTTGGGGTTGGCGTGCTCCGTAAAATTCCTACCAGACCTCAAAGGTCTGGTATGAATTGGGGAAGGGGGTGAGGGAGGGAGCCGCACACTGTTTTTCAAAAAATTATTAATATTATTGATGCTGTGAAAAATACGAAATGAAACAAAGTTTTTGCCAGCGCACATTTTGAAAATGATTCTAATTCCAGTTAGTTACCTATGAAGTAGTCACATGATGGCATTTTTTATCATTAGATGCAGTTAACACATGATCACATTTGATATTCCAATCAAATACTGACAATCAGATAATGATAGTCATATTTTCTCTATGCAAGGGGCAATTACTGGCAAAATTCATCTAACATGGACTAACCTGCTGCTTTAATCAATCAAATTTGGAGTTGTCACCAGAACAGGAACACCAGGACAATTTTCCACCTGAATCAAAGTCTGTGAAGCCAGGTGGTCCCTATGGCCAACTACGGCACGGCACAAATTTTGTCTGAGTCCTTTTGAATCAGCCAAAAGTAGTGTTCTAGTCAGCTATAAAATCAACCAGACAAAAAGGAAGAGAAGATGATTGCATTTTGATTGACATAGGGAGTGTGACTTCTCAGTAAACCCTTTGAACTAACTCTAACCACTAACTAACCCTAACCACTAACTAACCCTAACCACTCAACCATCACGTTCTCAAACAATTCATCCCCACACAGCTCCCTCCTCATGTATCACTTCCCCCTCCCTTTTAGATTGTAAGCCCTCACGGGCAGGGCCCTCCTTACCATCTTGTCTTCATTTGTATTGTGATTGTAATGTCTTCCTTATATTGTAAAGCGCTGCGCAAACTGCTGGCGCAATATAAATCCTGTATAATAATAATAATAATAATAATAATAACTAAACATTGTTTGGGGAAGACAACTTTATATTTAACCCTCAGAAATTGTTTACTCTTTCTTGTCTCCAATGCCTACAAATCATGACCTATTAGAAATAAAATGAATGAGGAAAGGGCATAGCTATGAGAAAACCAGCAGAGAAGATATGTGGATATGTAGCTTGGAATAGAGCAGGGTAGAGTTAATACCTCTGTCAGCTTTGAAAGCTACCTGTGTCCTCTTGAAGTGATTCTTCTGTCAAGTCTGAAATGCTGTTTATGCCCCCATTGAGCAGATTTCCCCACACTCCCTATCCTGTCTGACTCCTCCCAACAATAGAAGTGTGAAGAATTTCAGTACTGGGGACACACATTTAGCAATAACATCCTGAGGTTTTAAACCTTTTTTCACCCAATGACAAAAACGTTTTAATTGTTGCTTGTGTTCCCATTGGGGAATTTGTATCTAATTTCCTATTTTTTTCTGACACCTGTCAAATAGGAAGTTGAAAAAGGGTTTTCCATCACTATCTGTTATGTCTGATATTGGTTAAATAGAGACGAAGCGAGGAGAAATCAACCAAACAGTGGCACAGAAAGTACTAAACAGTTGACAGAGGTGACTCTTCTTCACTCTATCCAATAAAAATGTGGGCTAGAGTTGGGCTTTAAGAACAGCAGAGAACAATCTTCATCATTATGATGGCGGTGCCTGTGACCAGATTTTATTCTCTCTGTTCTGGGCCATTAAACTGAAACATGTTGCATTCAAGATGGAATTTACTCCTTATTTATAAAGCATCATTCTGACAGGGTAATTCAATGTGCATAGTAACTGTTTCATATCAGTCAAGCAGGTTGACTAGGAAGCTATCTTCATCCATTTCAGCGCATTCTTCATCCTTTTCTCCACCATCTTCAGTCCCCTGCAAGCCAGGGCTCACCAAGACTGCCGTGCCAGGTTCCACAATTTCTATCTCACTGTTTGTCAAGGACTCTGCTGGATAAAATCGCCTGGCAATAGACACAAACTCTGTTCCCATGTCGAGAACGATGAGACGGTCCTGAAACACAGAATGTCCCAGTGTTATAAACACTCTTTGATCATATCACCATACCACATATAACAAAGAGGGCTTTTTTTTACAGAGTGTCAATGGTTCTCCTACATGATCAGATCAGGAGGGCTTATTACTCTCTATCGGTGTTATGGACAGTAATGTTTAATGAATTAATCTAGCAGTGATATATAGCACTCTACTGTTCTACATGACAGGCCTCTTCCCAGCCTGGCACTGATGAACCATCACACTCTACTGTTTACATGACAGACCCCCTTCCAGCCTGGCACTGATGATCCATCACACTCTGCTGTTTACATGACAGGCCCCCTCCCAGCCTGGCACTGATGACCCATCACACTCTACTGTTAACATGACAGGCCCCTTCCCAGCCTGGAACTGATGACCCATCACGCTCTACTGTTTACATGACAGGCCCCCTCCCAGCCTGGCACTGGTGACCCATCACACTCTACTGTTTACATGACAGGCCCCCTCCCAGCCTGGCACTGATGACCCATCACACTCTACTGTTTACATGAAACACCCCCTAAAACTACTAGCTAAACAATTTGTTCATTTCTTTCACATTTTCTTATTTTTTCTCTGTTGTGCATTCTCTTTGCATGTTTTTTTCCGACCATATAATACATTGTACTGAGAAAATTATCAAATGTTCCAAAAACATAAAGATTGGTTTTGGGTGGATCAACCCATTTATTGTTTATTTATAAAAACAAATGTTTACTGTATATTATTAATGTATATAATGCCAACAACAGAACATCTGTCAATCATACTCAGAGAAAGCCATTCTGTGCATTGAACCATATTCCAGTAGATCATGTGACTAGATCATAGAGCTCAGATAACTCATACCTCAAAGGTGTCACCAGCCAGGTTCTCGCATATCGAAAAGCAGAAGATTCATTCTGCCTTCAAAATGTCTGCCTTATTTGTTTATGAAGGATGGGTACACTATCAGGGTTACATTTACTGTTGTGTCTGGATAGGATCCTCTGTAAGTATAGAGGCGTGGAGTAGATGTTAATGGTACATACCAGCACAAAGAGGTACCTCTCAGGAGGGATGGTTTGCTCATCAAATATACTAGTCTCTTGAGCTAAGAGACTGAGCAGGCGACGAGCCTCTGTGGGATCACGCAAGCTATTATAGGATGTATTTGAAGTGACAGTGAGCAAGGAGTCTGCTTCATTGTGGAAACCTGGTAATGGAGAACAAAGGTTATGATGAGAAAAGGCAGAAGATAAGACAGTGTAAGGCCACTCTGTATGTTACACAGCAATTCTGAATCACAGAAGAGAGGCTTCTACTTATCCAGTGGTGTATCTATAGCAGCTAAGGTGTTCGCTGTAGAGACCAGAGGTGGAAGTGAGAACCACTAGGGAAGCTGTTGAGGCAACCTAACACCTCACAGCCAACTCCTGATGGCCAGCTGGAAGCACTTTTGTAGCTCCGTACGACGTACGTCCTTGGCAGCGAAAGGGTTAAGGTAATCATCTAGCAGAGAGTTGGAGGCAGGCTTTCTAAACATGTGCTTGCTGTGATTGGTTGTCACAGAAATCACATGTTCGAGAACCCATCCCACTACCGTGACTGGGAGCTATCAGCCACTGTGCTGGGAGTGTGCTAGTGAGAATATAAATAGTGCTCCTTTTCATATAACATCACTGATATTGCTCAGGAGATGATAATGAAAGCAGACAGTCTCATTTAACAGTCATAGAAAGTCTCTTCAGAACAGAGAAAATTTAAACAAATAATAATTTCCATGTCCATAGTTTAACTTCAGGAAAGTTTTTTCAGTAAAACGAGTTTTAACCCCTTCATGACTGAGGCCCTTTTTTCAATTTTTGCACCCATGTTATATTCCACATTTTAGGCCTGAAAATGACGTAAAACCCCCCAACATTATATATTTTCTGAATGCCAAGACCCTATAGAATAAAATGGTGGTAGTTGAAAATTTTTATGTTGCGCAATATTAGCGCAACTCCTTATTAAACCCCAAAATTTAGTGACAAATTTAATTAAATGCCCCAAAACACAACAAATTACCCATTTAGGGGGGCGGCCCCTTCTTCGGGACGCAGAAGCGATCTGGCGACAGGTAAGTCGCCAGGATCGCTTCTGTTGTAAAGCCGACAGTCGGCTCTACAAGTTTAAACAGACTCCCGGCGGCAAAAGTCGCCGGGAGTCTGTTTAAACAGCCCTGATGCTGGCGACGTACACTGTACGTCGTCAGTCACGAAGGGGTTAATTTTAATCCTTGTTAATTGCAACTTCATTGTAATAAATGTTTTGAACTGTCCTGTACTGAATAGTTACCACTTCATCTTTCAGCACCCTAGTGAGCCTGCGCCCATTAGTGTTGTCAGGTGTGGGCCTTGCTGGGGGAGGTTCCCAGCACACACATTCGGTCCTTTCCCTCATGCCATTGGCTCCTGGATGGAGAAGCCTCCTGGTTGTCTCGGCGACCAGGGCGCGGTCCTGGTTCCCACTGGGTATAAATTCCAGTCAGAGCCCTGGCTTGTTGCTGAATTATTCTACCTATATGGTGTAATCACCTAGCCACTTGTTGGATACTGCTGCCGTTTCCCTGACCCCTCATCTGAATTCCTGGTTACTGACCCCTTGGCCTGCCTTCCCGTTCTTGAACCTAGCCGCCTGCTTCGACCCGGACTGGACTTTGACTACGCCTTTAAGATTGCTCTCTTGCACCTCGTTTTCAGATCTCCTTTGCCCGTTTCCTGTCAGTGGGTTCCACTTCACGGCTCAAACCGGCGATACCCCTTAACACCTATCAGCACTGCTGCGGAGCCTAATTTGCTTCTAGTGCTGTTCATCGCTCGCCCCATCTGAGTCCTGCTGTATGAGGGACTACAAGGGGCAGATGCAAATGCAAATTTAGGCGGTTCCTGAGTTGCGCTTAAAAATACATTACATTATTTTTTACTAAATGCAGAACCGGCATGAAAAGGTCATAGGCTTGTTTTGGTAAGATGAAGCAACAGTCTTCCTGTTAAAGGGTACAAGTATACTACTAAACACAATAGAAGTCACCAGTACTCAATGATGCGTGCAAGAAGTATAAGCACTTTTTATTAGATTGTCACATGGGTCAAACAGCCAACGTTTCGGGGGCCACGCAGCGTCCCTTCTTCTGGGCGATATAGTGACCTAGTGACATAGTGACCTGTTTTTTTTAGTATACTACTAAAGACACCAACCGATAAGTGAAAACTAACATTTGGGCAATCAATGCTTTGTTCACCAGGGTTAGGCCATTGCTGGCGTAGTTTACTTCCTCCTTTGACTTCCAATGATATAACCAATGAGCTGCCATGTTTATTTCAGAAACTGCTAAAATAATCTAGATCAGTGGTTCTCAACCTGTGTAACCTCAGGACCCAACAGTTGTCCTTGGTCATTAAGTTGCGACCCAAGTCACACTGTAATGGAATGCATGGAATTAGGGTACAGCATGTTCCGGTGCGAGCATACGAGCTGTGGGTGGGAGGTGCGTTTGGGGTACCATTCAAATCAATGGCAAACACAACACACCTCCCACACCAGAATGCACGGTAGGTGCATTTGCATGGTATAGTGTGTTAATCGCATGGGACTGTGGGATTAACGCACTGTACTAGTGTGAACAGGTCCTCAGAAATACTGTCAAACATACACAACCACAGACACAATCTCACACACTCACAGACATTCTCGCACACACTCCAAAAAATGTTTACATTTTTTTTTAAGGTCCACCCAGTATCCATGCCCTACGAGTACTGGAGTGGATCCTCAGCCTGGGGTCCAGTGCGGGATGCTGTGCTTTGACGGAGTGCCATCCATATGTGCTTTGCTTGTACAGCTCCCTTGCGCGCCCTGTAGAGGAGCTGGGAGCACGAATGTGATGTCAATCTGGTCCAGGCACCTCTACACAACACGTGAGGGAGCTGCAAGCCATGCACATATGGCTGGAGCTCCCTCGCAGCCAACTCATTTATATGAAAATACCACAGTTGATTCATATGTAAATAACACAGTTTATTCATCTGCTAATCCTGCCCCCAGACATCCCATCTACCATCACCACCACTGACTTCTCCCCACACGGGGGACTGGAAATGTCGAATTCTTCCTTACATTGGTGGTCGGTGTAGAATCCCCCCTTACATTGGTGGTTGGTGTAGAATTCCTCCTTACATTGGTGGTCAGTGTAGAATTCCTCCTTATATTGGTGGTCAGTATAGAATCCCTCTTTACATTGGTGGTCAGTGTAGAATTCCCCCTTACATTGGTGGTCAGTGTAGAATTCCTCCTTACATTGGTGGTCAGTGTAGAATCCCCCCTTACATTGGTGGTCGGTGTAGAATCCCCCTTACATTGGGGGTCGGTGTAGAATTCCGTCTTACATTGGTGGTCAGTGTACAATCCTCCATTACATACATGCGAAAGATTTCCAGCCTTACATGATTCAGAATTGCCCACACGACAACAGGTGTCACAGTACTCAGCAGAGCCAGAGCAGTCAGTGTCAGATAATGCTATGCTATCCTACATATTTAATGCCAAATGTGTTTGCAGTGTGTATCACTATATTCTCTGCCAGAGCTGTTGGGTTTTTGAATAGATTGTATGGACTGAGGTTGATCATACACACATAGATTTATTTTGCTCAGTCCTGTAGGCTGAAAGAGAAAAAGTCACTTGATTCCCCCATCCACACTAAGGAGTGTGGATGGAAGAGTCTGCTGCAGCATCTGAATACCTGAACAGTGACTGCATTTGACTGCATGCAGTCACTGTTCGGCTGATATTCCACCCGACTCTTTTGATTTTGAAATTCGACTTTTGTCAAGATGGATGGTGCCAACAGGTCCAACCACGGCACAAATTTTAGTCAATTCAGCAGGTATGGATGACCAGCTTAAAAGTTGCAGCTATCCACACAAATACGTAAGTCATTTTACTAATGAACAAAACCTTCTGAGCTGTGTTTCTGTCCTTATTATGACAAGTCTTCCTGTATATACACCATTTTAAAACTAAATTGTACAATAGGTTAACAATATATACGCCTCTTGTATAACCACGCCCATTTTAAATGAATGCCACACCCCTAATTAAAGTACATTCTCTGCCTACAATGGCAGCAAAAAAGGTGTCCCTGAAATGTTCTTTTAAATATTAGCAACTATGCACTTGTTCTCTGTATCAGGTTTTCGCATCATTAATCTTCAAGGCCTCCCAGAGTCACATGTGGAATAATGTGTTACTAATTAAAGAGAATCAGTCACAAAGCAGGAAACATATGTGAGAAGCCTGTAATAGTGATTGCCCATCCTCTGACTTCTGTTGACAGGTACACTTCACTTTAACATAAGGTTCGGAATAGAAGGAAACATACACATGAGTTGGCTTACCTAAGTCTTCCAGAAGAACCCTCCAGCGATCCTTCACCCCTTTGCGAACTTGTCTATGAGCGGTGATATCAAAACTCAGCCTGCGGTAACCCTAAAAGGAGAAAACTGAATCACCAAAAACTTATAAATACCTTACTTGATGTCTCAGCAACTTAGGTATTGTTGGAGCTCATGTAAAAAAAAAAATCTGATGAAAGAGGAAAAATGTTATAAATAACAAGCACTCTTTGTTCCTACTGTTCATGTGAAAAGGTCCACATCATCTCATCCACATAATCCCTGTGAAGGGGTGCCATGCTTAGGTGATAATAGAGTTTTTTCTTATCTAAATACCAAAACAAAAGTTTTTATGCATTTATGGCAAGCAGGAATTGTCATATATATTTTCACAGACTGACATGCAAGTCAGTCTGTGCGGCAGCAAATGAAGACAGACAAATAGTCCTGCTCCATATGTGGTCGACGTCAGACCCTGCCAGGTCCCATTATCAGCAAAGAAACACAAACATGAGTAATCCTAGGAACCTTGACGTGCTTAATGCATATGAGAAAGCATAAGAGGTACCACACATTCGCTACAGGAGGGCAAATGGGGGCAATTATCCCCTGTAGGTTATCCCCCTCGTGTGTCCTCTCCGTTAACAGGGGTGAAGGAGGCCGGGCCCTGGCCCCAGCAGCTCCGGTCCGGGGGCAGAAGAGGCCAGGCCCCAGCAACGCCAGTCCCACTGCGGGAGTGGCCAGGCCCCAGCAGGGGCAGGTAAGGAGCATGTGCAGGAAAAGGGACCCTGGTGACCAGCCCACCTGGGACCCTGCATAGCCCACCATAGAGAGTCTCAGATGGGCTGTGCAGGATCTATGGTGTGCTCTGCAGGGTCATTCTCAGGTGGGCTGTGTGGGGTCTCAGTTATGTGTGGGGGTCTCAGTTATGTGTGGGGGTCTCCGGTATGTGTAAGGTCTCAGGTGGGCTCTGAAGGATCTCGGGTGGGTCCTGAGTCAAGTGTGTTACTAAGTCCAGAATCCAGTGTGTTACTAAGTCCTGAGTCTAGTGCATTACTAAGTCCAGTGCGTTACTAAGCCCAGAGCGTTACTAAGTCCAGAGTCCAATTTATATAATGTTCTGCATTGCTGTATATTGTATTGCTGGGATTTATAGTCCTCTGTAGGTGGTGGTATTCTGCATTGCTGTATAATGTATTGCTGTTATTTTTAGTCCTCTATAGCTGTTGGTATTTTTAATTGCTGTATAATGTATTGCTGGGATTTGTAGTCCTCTATACAGTGGCAGAACTACCAGGGTCACATAGTTACAGCTGCGACTGGGCCTTAGCATTCTGCACATGGGGGGCCCAGACAGGAGGAAGGGGGCCCTGGTAACCGCCGACATTGCAGGTTCCCGGGCCCCCCTTTCATCAGTCTTGGGCCTTCCATCATTCACACTGTGCCTGGATCATGTGTATCACAAAGCTCTACAGCAACAAAATATAGTAATGTGCAATGTGCATGACAGACCCATTTTAATGACAGTAATGTGCCAAATTTTGTTTGGCAGAGATTCCATTACTGCACACAAAAATGTCAGGATGAGTAAAAAAAAAAGCTGTTATACATAACAAACAGCTGCAACGTAATATATTATTACAATATTTTGTTCTGTAAGCAGCACCCTATTTTCTGTCAGGGCCCCTCCTGAGACTAGGCTCTCGATATGCCCCTGCCCGTTAAATTAGGCTGCTGCTCCAGGATTCAAGCTATTCAGGATTGTGGGCGGCGTTGGATTACATGTCAAAACCGCCAGGCGCCAATGCCATCCTCAATTAAATCAGACCAGTCTAGCAGCCCGGAAGGAGCCAGCAGGACCGAGGATCAGGTGAGTAATACAGCTTTATTTGAGCCTCTTAGACAAAAGGAGCACTTAACCCTTGCAGTGCAGGGGTAGTCCCACTACAAGGTTATGTTTTTTTGTTTGCCTGGAGTTCTTCTTTAACTCTCATATGTTAGCTGACTTTGAAATACAGTATATAGTCCAGTTTCCTGCCCTACCGAATTACACTTGCATCAATTATCCCTATACATGGACCAAATATTGTCAGGTTTAGTCATCAAGCCTTACAGAGTGTGTAGCATTTTACCATATATTTTATGTATTTATGTATTACAATCAGGAGTAAAATAACATATGTGAATGTTTTCGTTTATTTTTTCTAGTCAGGTAAATATGACATTTTACATACAAACATTTCATACAAATAATACAAATGACATAAAAAAATGTATAAACATATAAACCTTAAAGTGACACAAAACTCAAATGTTTTATCCCCTTTCAGGGCTTTCCTTACAGTACATAAGATCATTTTGCTGTTCTTTCTTTTTAAAAATGTAAAAAAATACCTTGTTTGCTTTTTAAACTGTGCCAGGCACGCTCCTGCAGTTCGTCCATTTTTCAGTAATTTCTGTCTTCCTTCTTTTCAGACGTTCAGGAGATTAGTCGGAGAGCACGCTGCTCTGCCACACTACATGTTCCAGAATGCACAGCGCTCAGTATTCTCACTGCACATGTGCTTATTTACATAACGTTCCTACCCCTTTCCTCCTCCTTACTCTATCTCTGCTGCTTACTTCAGTGAGTTGACCGCTGCTTCATTACATCGAGCTCAAGAAATATCCACCGCTTTATATTTTTTTGGGGCAGATGGGAGGGATGGGAGGGATTTAAAAAGGAGAGAGGAGGAGTCAGCAAAGGAAATGTGAGGGCACTTGAAGCATCCTCAAGTCTCATTGTAGTTCTCAGTGGAAGCGAGCACAAAGGGTGGCTACTTCTTAGCTCCCATAGGGACAATGGAGAAGAAAAGTAGCCACCCTCTGGCAGGAAGTTGTCCACATGCATAAAGAGATAGTTTTTTGAACTTTTTAAAGGCAAATACTGGAAACTGGAGTAGGCTCATTATTAAACTACTATGCTGTAGATCCTTTTTTCATAATTGAATTTTTGGGTTTAGTGTCGCTTTAATAAAAATGTCAAATACATTTCACCAAAAATCCCTTGTCGATAACTGACCTCTGATCCTCGCCGTGTCCGTGCTCTCTTCTGCAGCAAGTTGTAGAGTTCCCTGTCGTCATCCCTCTCGGTGTGTGACACATCTTGTGGCTCATTCCATAGATTTGCCTCTTCTGCTCTTCTCCTCTTCACCTCCCGATCAAAGTACAAGAGCGTATCACTAATGTGGTCAGAGGAAAACAACAAAACGAAATAACAGATATTGAACAATTTTGCTTCAAAAGGAAGCACATCAAAAGTTGGTCTATGTTTTTGACTCAAACATCAGCAAAGTAGGCCAACTACAGAGTGAAATGTATTTTAGTGCAATATAAATTTCTGTAGGATTCCTGCATTGTCTTGTCATACTTTAAAAAAAATGAGTTCTATGAAAATTCGGGGAAAATGCTGTTTTTGAATGACTGGCCTGTAAGAGCATTGTCAGAATGGAATATCTGGGACTAACCAGAGGAAATGAGAGGAAGGGTTCACTTTACAATGGAGCATGGCCAAACTGAGTGCAGCTTATTGTGAATTAGCATGGCTTAATGAGGGGTTTATTTTTAGTGAGAAGAGAAAAAAGAGACAATTTACAAAAAACATGTTTTTGGATCCCAAATGTTTATATTCTGTGTTTTAGTTGTAGGATAGCTGACCCTAACTATTACTCCTCACAATACAAGAGACTGTCAGAGACCGCGTGAATGTTAGAAAGGACTGACAGAGCCAGCTTCCATAGACTTCTTACAAATCCTGACAGAGACTTCTCACATGTTAATGTGCACCTGTGTTCTAGTCACATTGTGATGTGGGTCTGGGGACAGGGGATGTGCTCAGATGGTAGCTCTATGTCAGGAAGACACCAGTCTCTCCAAATTACTTGTGCTATGTTTATTTATTATCATGAACCAAATTAATAGAAAAAATACTTCACTTCAGCAGTCAAACAAAAGTAAAGTCCTGCTTACTTCAGCAGTACTTCCGTACAGTAGGACTTTTCCTCCACCTAAACAACTCACAATAGTGATAGGTGAATCCTTCAATCACTCTCACACAAAGAAACAGTCTGTCAGTCCACAAAGTTTCAAAATTCCTCCTGTGAGGCTTCCTAGCCCAGGCTGCAGACCCACTCAAGTTTCATCCACAGCCCAAACTCCAGGCCGCACAGCAATTTTACCATCAGCCTCCTAATGGTCTATTTTTCTCACCAGCTTCCATGGAGCCCTCAATGGCTTCAATCAATATTCTGTGTGTTAAATATTGCCCTTCCAGCACTTTGCCTTCTGTTTTTTCCCAGACTCTGTCAGTCCCCCCCCCCCACTGGCTGCGGCCACTCATATTTAGCTAATTCATTACTAGTTACCCCAAAAACCGGGCTTTCTTCATGCCTATAGCAAATTTTTTGGGATTGCCTGACCAGTGCAGTGTGTAAATGATCATTTTGCTCGGAGTGTGGCTTTTCCATTTTCTCATACAGAGGTTGACACAAGAAAATAAAATTGTTTGCTTTTTCTAGGACCTGGTGATCATATGTTTTATGGCAGAAAAGACATGATTAGGTAGATGTCATTTTTTTATTTTCAAGGGCGGCTTTTATTAGATTTTTCTGGATAGGTCTGTTTAATAAGGTGTAGACTAATTGATAAGCATGAGACTAGAAATGTTTGCTTTTAAGGTAGTCCCACTAGATAGGTTTAAATGTGCCCTCAACACTGCAACCCAAACACAGGAACACGCAATCAGGAAATATCCTGCCAGTCCTCTTGGGAAATAGAAATCCCTATGTATTGTTCCCATGTAGTGGCATATTTAAGCACAAAACAGAAAAAGGAAATTACTATGTTCAGGTATATAGTGGAAATAGTACCCAGGGCATGGTGATCATTAGAACAGGTGCACTTAAACCACATAGGTAGTCGCTGGGGTGTCAGTATGTTTAATTGGTGAAGAGAGACAATGTTTGATTTTCCTATCTTAGAAAATGTCCATGGGAGGTATATTGTGCAACTTCTTCAAGTCACTAGGCTGGAAGGAACCCAAAAGTTCATGTATACAAAGTAAGTTTGACCATTGCCACCGTAAGAAACTTTGGGGTAATCTCGACACAGAGGAATTGAAGGCGGAGCCTGGTTTCGGCCGTTCGCCCGTGGAGAAGTTCGCGGCCATCTTGCATGAATGCAGACGCGGTCCTGTGTGCTGTGTGCGGCGGTGGAAGATGGAGGACACAGGTACTCGTTTTAGACATCAGAGCATTTGCACGAGTACGAGTACCCATGCAAATACTCGGTATCGCGGCCGATACCGATGCTTGTATCGGTATCGGTGCATCCCTATACAGCACCATGAGGAGCCTTGTCAGGTGCATGAGCAAGTGGATGAGATGGTGAGCTGGAATGGTAGACTGCTCCTACCTGCAGACTTCAGGCAAGCCTCATGCATGGCTGCCAACACTTTCAGGGTTGTACACATGGCGCCCGAGCCATGTCAGCTTCCAGGTGGGCTGACCGCACTAACCTCCATGTCTGTAGGCGTGCTGATTGTATGGTTTCTGAAGCAAGTATGCTAGGCTCACCTGAAGCTGCCAGGGATTAGGCACTTGTGTACAAGAACCCGAACATTCATCCTTTAGTGTTATTGCCAGTATTGATTTTCTCTTTATATAAAGCTCCAGGTGCCCAGTGTTGTATAGAAGTATTTTAATGCAACAGTACTGTATCACTTTGTTATTTACTACCGTGCTCTGCATTCTTTACTACCGTGCTCTGCGTTCTTTACAACTGAACTGTGCTTTCTTTACTATCATGCTCTGTGTTCTTTACTACTGAACTGTGCGTTCTTTACTACTGAACTGTGCTTTATTTACTACTGAGCCCTGCGTTATTTACTACTGAGCTCTACTGAGCACTGCAGGATTTACTACTGAGCTCTAATGAGCGCTGCGTTGTTTACTACTGAGCGCAGCATTATTTACTACTGAGTGCAGCATTATTTACTAATAATAACAACACCTTATTTTCTGGTAGTGCCCCTCCCGAGACTTTGGATCTGCCCCTGAGGCAAAGAAGGAGTACATTTGGTAAAGAGATAATTGGGTTAGTGACTAGTAACTATCATGTCATCTGCAAACATACATGATTTATGATGATACCCTGCAACTTTTATCCCTGTGATGTCTGGATTGTGTCCAAGTGAAATTCCAAAAGGCTAAATACACAAAATAAAGAACAGTGGAGAAAAGGAACAGCTCTGTCTGTATTTGAGTAATTTTGAGGGACTTTCAGATTAATAGGGATGAGGATCACATTCGCTGTAAAACTTTGCATGTTTGCTGGCAAACTTATGGGCAAGTTAGCAAAAGCAAACCTCATAATGCTGTGCCTGACCTGTGAACTCAGGTCAGGTAAAAAATTATGGCCAAAAATGGAGTTTTGAAAATGTGCCAGCTCTCTCCCCATAAAGGCCATCTTTCCCAGAATCCCTTTTTATG